TTTATCCTTTTAAAAGTTTTCCCCAAATATTTGCTTAACTATTTCACGGCGGGGTTTCAGCTTAGAAAAATTGTGCTCGCTAATTTATCATTACGGCAGGATTAAAGGCAATCCCTCAAGTTTTGCCATACAGCATGGGCAATATTCTTTGTGTGAATGAGTCAGTGTACTTCATCATGTTGAAGGAGACTAACAGTATGATATGTTTATGCTGCTGCCAACTCAACCTCAGTGGAAAGGCAAGACAGTGCTAATTACCACAATTATCAGTGCATTAGAAACTTAGTTTCACTTATGTTGCTGGAAAGACATCAAACAATAGCAGATAATCCAAGATGAAAATGTAAATAAATTAATTAATCTAGAACTTGAGTCTACATCACGCAAACTTTAATTGCCATTGTTTGCACTTTCAACCTGCCTTACTATGGAACAAAAATACCGAGGGAGGTTGTACAATATAACTACTGCAATGTGTCTGATACAACAATCTATAAGTATGTAACCATTACATATTCTATTCATAAAATCCCAAACAATAGGAAAAAATTAATATCCAAATTTTAAACTTACTCATAGCCCAGGGAGGAATTTTCCTCTTAGGAGCACTGTCCTCATCAGTTGAGTCATCACTCTCAATATCATTTATATCATAATTATTAATATTTTTCTTATATTTCTTGGAGTTTGGTGTAATGTCATAACTATCTTTGTTTTTCCCAGTAGAACTTGACTGAGACGGTCCAGTAGTTTTGGAAAATGTGGTATTAAGACCATTTTCCTTGTTATCACTTAAAGTGAATGTATGATTTAGTCCAGTTTCCTTGTTATCAGCTAGTGCAATCTGTAGGAAAATTACAGTGTGAGATATATAATCATAAGATGAATAAAAGCATTACAACATAATAATCAACAAAATACAATAGAGAATGCTGACAAACTAACCTGAGCACTGAAGCTACAGGTTCATGTGGAAAGTGGACATGAAGATGTTACTAAGGAGCTAAGAAATAATAAATTTGAGAAAAGGATTAGAGGAATACTGATGGAATACAGGCATAATAACACATTAAACAGAACTGAGCAAAAGATGATGTTATCTAAAGGAAGTTCTGCATTAATTACCAATTGTTAAATAATGCAGCAAAAGGAAAATAAGTACTTTAGTTTTTACCTTTTTAACTGCTGAGCTTGTCAATTTAGCTTGTTGTAACTCAGCAATGCGCTGTGCTTCAAGCAATTTAAGGTATTCTAACTCCTTTTTCTCACGGGCGATGCGTTCTACCTCAGCAATTTTTCTACAAAAGAAAATTTTTCTGATATACTACAGTTTCTTCAATAACTAATAAAGCAGAATAAATTAATCATGACTTCACTGGTGCAATTAAAAACAAAAACATCAATGGAATTTTTTTTTTTAGATTTTTTTACGTGGCTTAATTAACCTACCTGTCATATTAAATATATACCGTATATATAGTGTACTATATGTATTTGTAGTACAAGCTTAAGTCTCTCATGGTTAAACATATATGGTATTATTGTTAATAATAAGAAGCATCCAATACAATATGTTGTTAAAGATTATCTAAATACAGTAGAAGTCCAAAAATCCGGACTGCTTGGGGATTGGGTCGGTCCAGATTTTCGGATTTTCCGGATTCTCAGGCAGTACTTTTAAAATTCAAATTTAAGGAGGAATAAAGAAGAGATGAACAGATACATTTTGATAGTTTATTCATTAGCAAATATAGCATGCTTCATTTATCAAAATGAGCAGTTTTAAAGAAAAAGCTGTGAATTCTAGAATTTTATTCTTTGCCTTTTTTATATCATAAATTGTAGACTTTACAATGTTGTATGTTTCCATTAGAACAGTATTGCTCACACCACGTTCTATTTTAATTATTTAAAGTTTGTCACCCAATTTCAACGTGTTCTTCTTTCTCTTCACACAACGGAGTTTATCTACTTCAGGAGCCATTATTATGGGCTCTGTAAATGGAAAGAGTAGGACTCAAAATTACATACGTTGTCACAGTTTGATTGCTCGTTTTAAAGTGGCGATCGCTTGTTGTCGCTGTGCAGCTGTGGCGCTCACGCATGCGCACATACACACAAAAGCCAGCTAAAAAAAAAAAAAAAAAAAAGTTTGAGTTTTCGAAAAGTCCGGATTCTCGGGTGGTCCGGATTTCTGGCATCCGGATTTTTGGACTTTTACTGTATATTAATAGTTTTTTTTATTATTCTTAAGAGGAAATACTGAGTGTTTAACTTAGTGTGGATGTACTTACAACCACCTCAAAAAGCCTGTCTCTCCTTCCAAACGAATCAGAATCGAAACTAAACAAATAATTTAGCACCAGCTGTGATGAGATCATGCGCTACATCTACCACCGAGTATTGATTATAATGTCCCTTACATAAAGATGTTATACACATTCCCTCTAAAATTTTGTTCTGATTGTAATAGACCAAAAATATTGAGAGAGAGAGAGAGAGGGAGAAAATTACACTTTCTTTTTCATTGGTGTTGTTACCCTGAACCTATCTCTCTCTCTCCAGGCAAAGATGGCATGTTATTGACGTTTTCAAGGACAAAGGGCATAATTAAAATTATTCCCTTGATCATTATGACACAGAAATTTCAACATATTTTACATAGGCATCAATAATATGTTAATACCCCGGTCATTGCAAATGATGTGTCCCTAAAATTCTTTGCGAATATCAGGATAATTTCTCCCATAAGAATTAATATAATTATATAATTGGTGGAGGTGTAATGTATTAAAATAAGTATAATACCATAATACAATACAAAACAACACTGCAGAAACACATTTTATTAGCCAAGCATCTTTAGCCTGCAAAAAGGTCACATTATTATACATCCATGGTATCCCTCCCAACCCCCTGGTCGGGGATAATCATATTTTTCTTTTATGGCCCAAACACCCCAAAATGACACTTGAAAATCTGCCTCGTTTAAAGGTGCTGCGAGACATTTAAATCCAGGGCTGGTGTAGTATTCCCAAACCTCTACTCGCTTCCAGTGCTGTCACAGTACTACTGGTTTGTCTTGCAGCCACATATATACATAATGATCACACACACACACACTGTAGGAGGGAGGGAGGGAGGTAGGTAGGTAGGGAGGGAGGGAGGTAGGGAGGGAGGGAGCAATGTAGGTGGAAGGCATGTGAGAGAGGGAACAGGGTGGGATGGAGGTAGCAGTATGGGAGGGAGGGAGGGAGCTAGTGTAGGAGGGAGGAAGGGGTGTGGGTGGATGTAACTATACAGTGGGACGGACTGGTAGGGGTAGGTGAAATGGAGGGAGTACTGGACGTTCCTGGAGATGAAGAGGACACCAACCCTCTCTCCTCTACTTGCTGTTTATCAGTGTTGTTTTCCTCTTGTTCAAACACATAGTCTTAGTCACTATCATTATCATCACGTTCAATATCCCTATCAATGCATGCCTCTGTCAATCTATACTCATCTTCACCCCTACCAAATAATTTAGAGTATGTCTCAACCTGATTGAGTGACCGGTTACGTTCACATGCCATGGCTATCGAGAGACTACTGTGTAGTCCCAGGGCCTTGACTGTGAGGAGAGATGGGAGGGTGGGGCCCCCTGGGGAGAGATGGGAGGGGGGGGGAACATTTACACAAACAGATTATGGTAGCTAGACTCAATTTCAAAGGTGCGGGAAAAGCAGATTTGGAAAACGTTCTAATACGTGACTGACCAGAGATAATAATATCGGTGATCACGTAATTGAACGTTAATGACCAGTTATGGGTTAAAATAAGCATAGAATATTGATTCACCATGGGTGTAAAAAATTCACTTACTGTAAAGACACACCGACACAAATGTTGTTAATAATTACTAAACTTTGTGATTGTGTGTATAAAATGTGTGAATGAGTAGGAGGCAATACGAAAAAAATTTTGACACAGTATCGACACTACCACACAACGCAACAGATCAAAGCAGACAGAGAGAACTCTTTCGCATGGCCTGGTGTATGAATACACAGCAAAAACAATTAACTATGCAGCCTGCTCACATAGCTTGAGCCACCAAGCACCAGAGATGACACACACCTCCAGCATGTTCCTTATTTTGCTCCTGAAAAGTTAAATATCATCATACATAGAAAACAAAACTCCATTATGAAAACACATATGGCCTCCACCCAAAAAATCCCACCAAGCACATTATATATGCAATAATGCACAGCCACACATTAATCCTTTATCATGCCTAAAATAAACCAAATTAAATGACAGTAACCAGCAGAAATATTCCATTAAATTGGAAATGAAGAGAGATGCAGGCATAATTAACGACCATTAAAGAGGAACAAAATTTACAGCATAATCAGCCGAGTCTTGGGGTCAGAAGTCCATAGCTGGTAACAGCATCGTACCTGGCATCTCTGCCAAGCACTACTTCTGACAGAGGAATACAGTACGAGTGCAGCAGCTAGTTAGCTTGTGCAGTTTGAAACAAATTTACTGTAGCATATTGAAATTATTTCTTTCAATTTTCTAATTCGCTTTGCGGATAAGCGAATACAGATACTGAACTAAGTATAGAATATGCCTGTTAAAATATAAATTGCGAATAAGTGGGGTCATGATTAACGTTTCAATTGAAAAGTGCAATAAAAGCCATTATGCTTGAGATAAGACATACAAATATTATAAAGCACATACGACCCAAATGATATCTTATTGTCCACCACCAGCAAAACTTCGCCCAGCAGCGGGGAATGTATGGAACAGCTTCACTCCCTGTTTTTACTTAAAATTTGAATTATCTCTCTAATTTTATGAATTTACACACCCTCACAGATGAGTCACAGACATGAGGGCTCGGAGCAGTATAGTCACCTCTCACTTTACACGGATTTAATTAGCATGTTCTTAAAATAACACTAGCATTAAGTTAACACCTATTTTTAAATAACACAGTTTTCAAAAGAGTCCCATTGCGCCAGGCAGCATAGTTCTACATCTCATTGCTTTCCTACTTTACAAAAAAGGAAAGAGTAACAATCACCTTAACCTCAGCCATCAACATATGGTAACTCGAAAGCTCCCACTTCTCCCCATTCACCTGCTCTGTCATCTGATTCAAATGACTAACTCCCCCAGTAACCCCCACCTCTCCTCCACCACTAGTTCCTGCATGCCATCTCAGCCATCATTCAATGTTTACGTTCGCACAAATTTTCATTTAAAATCTATTTTCTTACTACTGTATTATTAGATTTGCTTCTATTATTGTATTATTATTGTTAATATATTTTTGTAAAAAAAACATACTGAAGGAAATAGATCCACAAATTAAAGTTTTTAGGGAGCGCTTCCCCTAACCCCCGCCATTTCCTTTATTTATGGGATAATTAGGTTTGATTTACACGGTCATTCTCAAGAACGTAACTACCATATAAATTGAGAGATGGCTGTACACAGCTTGTTCCAAAATGAGCAATCCTCAGTGAAGTGAGAGGTGCACCAGGCGAGCAAAACTGAGGTACTTGGATGTGCATTAATAAAAGCAACCAGTGGAGTTATGGTCTCCAGTTTGTGCAGTGGGCAATGAATAAAATGTACGGTACCATGAAACCACCAAAATGGTACCTTACCAGCTGTGTTTCCTATGGAAGAAAGTGCTTACAAGATAAGCACAAAAACTGTAATTGAAAACACACTTGCTTGACACCAGATAGGGTTATTGCACTACAATGGTATTAAATAAGGTGATATTCCCCAGAAATAACTTGGTATTCAGAAATTTTCCCACACAGAGTACCTGTGGAGATCCATCAATTAAAAGGTGCCACTGTAGAAGTAGCTGTCTAACATAGCAGGGCTCTCATTTGATAGACAGTCTTCATTGCAACAGAGCCTGTTATAGCCATAAATCATGTGGTGGGGAATGGGGGAAAATGAAAATTCTCCCAATAATGGACAGAGCTTGTATGGATTAGTTTGGTACAGTATTGGCAGGGTTTACTGTAATTTTATTTAATACACTTACCGTTTCCTTTCTTCCTCTTGACGACGGCGTTGCTCTGCCAGATATAATAGTTTTTCCTCCTCATTTTGCTTTTCTTCTTCCTTTAATTTCCTTGACTCCTCTTCCTGTTTCCTTCGTTCTTCTTCCTGGTTTCATAAATTAGAAATGGAGTCACAATCATTTTAAAGAAAAAATACACAGAAAGATGAAGTGTATGTAACCTGACTTTTAATATACTGTAAACCCTCGATAACTCGGAATTTTATACAACTCGGCATGGATATGTTCTCGGAATGGTTTCTTTTTTTTTACGGGGATTAGCCCACCCGGGCACAGGTCACTTGACCCACATCAGGGCCTGGGGGGGGCGAAGATATAATAATAATAATAATAATAATAATAATAATAATAATAATAATAATAATAATAATAATAATAATGATAATAATAATAATAATAATAATAATAATAATAATAATAATAATACAGGGGGTAATAATAATAATTAATTAATTAAAATTAATAAAAATTTTAATAAACAAAATAACAGTAATAATAATAAATAACCGTAAATAGTAAAAAAAAAAAAATCAAGAGTGAGAAACGACATACATTATGTATATTGTGTTGTCAACAGCAAAAATCTCGGCATATCTGGTAGCCTGTGTCACCTACCATACCTCTGTGTCACCTACCATGCCTGTGTCTCACCTACCATGCCTGTGTGTCACCTACCATACCTCTGTGTCACCTACCATGCCTGTGTGTCACCTACCATACCTCTGTGTCACCTACCATGCCTGTGTGTCACCTACCATGCCTGTGTGTCACCTACCATACCTCTGTGTCACCTACCATGCCTGTGTGTCACCTACCATGCCTGTGTGTCACCTACCATGCCTGTGTGTCACCTACCATGCCTGTGTGTCACCTACCATGCCTGTGTGTCACCTACCATACCTCTGTGTCACCTACCATGAATCTGTGTTACCTACCACACCTGTGTCACCTACCATGCCTGTGTCACCTACCATGCCTGTGTCACCTACCATGCCTGTGTCACCTACCATGCCTGTCACCTACCATGCCTGTGTCACCTACCATGCCTGTGTCACCTACCATACCTCTGTGTCACCTACCATACCTCTGTGTCACCTACAATGATGCTCCATTCTTCGCCTGCAGTGCTGGTAAGTGTTACTTTTTGTATATTTAGTAATTACCTGTACACACACACATATGGGTCGATGATTTTTGTATGAAGGGGGAAAGGCCTCGATAAGTCAGAATCTGGTATACCTCAGCAAGGCCAGAGCCCAGATGTGCTGATTTATCGAGGGTTTACTGTATAGTAAATATATACGAGAGTTTTAAATTCAACGCAACTATGAATAATTTAATTTCCAAGGTTACTGCTTAAACCTACCTGTTCTTTAATCTTCTTAACTCTAGCCTCTTCTGCACGTCTCTTAGCAAGAAGTTGCTGCTTTCTGTGCTGCTGCTGCTGTTCTCTTAGTCGCTCCTCTCTGTTCTTTCTATCTCTGTCTTGTTGTTTCTTTGCTTCTATAGCCTTACGCTCTCTTTCTTCACGAGCTTCCTGTACCCGCTTCATCCTTTCCTCGTTGCGTCTGTTATAAAATAATAATTGAATAAAATTAATGACAATTCATACAAGATTCATTAAACCACCCAACACCTTGTTCTCCCATTATTCATGCAACAATCCATTTGACACTCAGATAAAACTTGAATTATGAATCCTAAGAACAGCTCTGACTTTCATATTTCTAGATATTTATCTCCTGACCAACCTTTTCTGCCCCTCTGCTTTCAATTTTAATAATTCTTCTTTCTTTTTTATCGTCTCATCCTCTCGATCCCTCTTCTTTTGCAGTCCTGTTTGTCGCTTCTCCTCAAGTGATGGCTTTGCTGGTTGTATTTTGATGAATGATGTTATTCCAGTAACTATGTTCGTTGGGTATTTAGCTTCATTTGGGTCACCAAATTTCTGTAATAAAACATGATTAAACTTCAAAACTTGATTATGAAGAATGAAAATATTAATAATAATAATAATACAGTAAAAAGAATTTGAAAAATACAAACATACACTGGCAAATATAGTATGAAAGTCACAGGAGTTTGTAATCTTTATTTTAGGCAAAATCATAGCAAACTTGGGGTTTTGTGAAGCAGTTCAGAACCTAACCCCCGTGATGACAAGGTTTCTATAGCACTGTTCGTCACTCATTTCACACAATTGTGGGCGGAGCCTCTGGACGACCACTTGGTAGCGGGGAGGGAGAGAGAGAGACAGGGAGAGAGAGAGAGAGAGAGAGAGAGAGAGAGAGAGAGAGAGAGAGAGAGAGAGAGAGAGAGAGAGAGAGAGAGAGAGAGAGAGAGAGAGAGAGAGAGAGAGAGAGAGAGAGAGAGAGAGAGAGAGAGAGAGAGAGAGAGAGAGAGAGAGAGAGAGAGAGAGAGAGAGAGAGAGAGAGAGAGAGAGAGAGAGAGAGAGAGAGAGAGAGAGAGAGAGAGAGAGAGAGAGAGAGAGAGAGAGAGAGAGAGAGAGAGAGAGAGAGAGAGAGAGAGAGAGAGAGAGAGAGAGAGAGAGAGAGAGAGAGAGAGAGAGAGAGAGAGAGAGAGAGAGAGAGAGAGAGAGAGAGAGAGAGAGAGAGAGAGAGAGAGAGAGAGAGAGAGAGAGAGAGAGAGAGAGAGAGAGAGAGAGAGAGAGAGAGAGAGAGAGAGAGAGAGAGAGAGAGAGAGAGAGAGAGAGAGAGAGAGAGAGAGAGAGAGAGAGAGAGAGAGAGAGAGAGAGAGAGAGAGAGAGAGAGAGAGAGAGAGAGAGAGAGAGAGAGAGAGAGAGAGAGAGAGAGAGAGAGAGAGAGAGAGAGAGAGAGAGAGAGAGAGAGAGAGAAGAGAGAGAGAGAGAGAGAGAGAGAGAGAGAGAGAGAGAGAGAGAGAGAGAGAGAGAGAGAGAGAGAGAGAGAGAGAGAGAGAGAGAGAGAGAGAGAGAGAGAGAGTCCAATTTACCTGATACTTTTGATAATAAAAATAAAATACTGCTACAGTTATTATCTTATTCATTAAAAGACTTAGAACAAAATACACTAAAATATAATGGCTGTTAGCATAAGAATTATATATTTCTAATGTTGCAGTTGCTGCTGCACTGTTGCCATGTCTTGAATCTATTTTCAGTAACATCGGTGTATGACGAACAGTGCTATAGTGAATTACTTTTCAGGTTTTAAACAACTGCCGTCAGTCCTTAGCCCTCTCATTAACCAGGGTGTTCCTGTATATAATAAATACTGTATGCAAAACCTTTTGTATTTTGTGTTTTACCGAGGATGACGAGGTAAGCATCAGCCGACTTCTTGAGAAAGTTTTTGGTGTATCACGAGAGCTACCATGGGTACTGCTGCTGCTGCTGAGTAAAATCTTCTTTGGTCGAATAACCTACATAGGAAAAAAATATATCAATTATAAAATTTAGTAAAGGCATCATTCAGAACAAAGGAAAGTGTATATTGTATATAGAGTATACCATATGCAGTATGTAATACTACTGCACATTTCCCCAGCTGCAAACAAGATGTCACTCAAATCAAGGACATATCCACTTACTGCTACAATTCCCCTGGAGTTTAGCAAATGCCGACCTTTCCAAAATGTCTAAATGCTCAGCAACTGCTTCTTCCAGTTGAAGTGATAAGTAGAAGAGATTAAAGTATAGAATCCCATCCATATAAAACAACAATAATATCCCATACATAACAAATAATGTAAATACTGTAAATAAAGTGATGTTAAACAATACAGAATAATGAAAGTAAAGTAATGTAAAATATGGGATCTTAGAGATTTTTGTAGTGAATGTATTGGATCCCATTCATAACTCGGGGACTGCCTGTAGTTCACATCACCAAATTGTGGAAGAGAAATAAAGATGATCAAGCTCACTCCTTATATTTTTAATCCCTATTTATATCTCTTTTAATTGAGTTTATGACTCAGTTGGACAGCACAACTATAACAGTAATAAGAAAAATACAAAAAAACACCCAAGTTTGAAAATACAGTACCTTATCTGAAGGACAAGTTGCAGGTGGGGTTCTGGCAGGGGGCTTTATCCGAACTCTCTGGGAGTCTGGAGTCTGAAATAAATACAGTGAGTTAATATATTATTGACATAGTTCAGCTTTTTTTCAAGATGAAACACGAAATTTGCTGCATGCATTTGATTTATCTTAATATGATGGAACATACACTAACCCCTCCATAAATTTAACTATGAAATACTTACAGGTAATTCTGACATGGGGAGAAGTCACGAATTATCCGAGAGATAGAAACCTGACAAGAGAAATGGGCATAAAACAATGAAGATATGATGAAGCCACCATTGAAGAACATTCCAGGGATTAACAACTTAATATTCTTGATTAAAGCTAAACAATAAATGCCATCTTTGATTAAACCACATCACAAAAGTAATTTTTTTTTTAAGAATGCCAGGCCACTGTTAACAATATTGGTATATACGTCAAGTGCTGTCATACTAAGAACCGCTCTCCAATAATTACCATTCCCAGTACAGTACAGTATGTGATCTCAGTATATGAGGACTAACATTAATCAAACCATTCATTTAATACAGTAATCTTTCACCACTGCCTCGTACAGTAAATATAAATACTGTACTGTACATACATTTCATAAATCTGCAATTATACCAGTACAGTTCTGATTGATTCAAGTCTGGTAATAAGGTTTATGAGTAAAAAAGGGTGCAATACTTGTACTATACTGTTTGTTGTTACCCATTGCAAAATTAAATTACTGTACAGTGAAACCTCTATTTAACGGACAATGTAGAAAGGAGACTCCGCTATATAGAGGACCCGTTTTATGTGAATCCCACATCTAATGAACTACAGTATGTTAGATAGAGATAAAAGTCTCTTATATTGAGGATCCATTTGATATGAAACCCCATCTAACAGATTATATGGAGAGAGGAATCCATTATATGGAGGTTTCATTGTAAGAATGGACATCGAAAACTTGAAGAGTGTACAGTTGCTATCTACTGTACTTTACAAAGAATGCATTTAAGTAGGTAGAGTTCACTCAAAATAATAGGGTTTGGTAGTGGCAAAGTAGTCCCATGAAAAAGAAACATACTTTATTTAAAAAAATTCTATGTTTACTGCTATACAAGTGAGGAAGAAATTGTGGATGAACAGGAAGAACTAATCTAAGAACAAAGATGCACAAAGGAAATGCTTACCATACTACAAGTTTAATAACTAAAAGGAATTTCAAATTCTAGGTGCTGTACATGTGGATTTTGGCCATTAAGAGGGATGCACCAATATACAATACATACATAGAGTGACCATATATGAAGGATAGTATACTGTATATAAATACAGCCAGGTGATGCAAATACAGCACACTATCATTTCATAAGATATCAATGATTAAAGTAAAGTTAGTTTTTTGGGGGAAAGGGCCATTATATCTGCACATTTCAAAATGTAAGTAAACCCGAATAGCTTCTTTGCAAATATAAATCAACACAACCTCCACAACCCATTACAACTCACGAACATTAAACATTTATTAGCTGTTTAATGGTGAAATAGTTCTGATAAACAATAAGCACCAATATACTGTAATTCCCTGTGAACCCATTAATTTCCCCTTTCTAATATTACCACCTCCTAATTAACAATACCCTTACATTACAGTACTGTATGTTAGCCCAAGTAAATGCTCTCAGTACTGAAAAAATCAAACCTCCGAATATTTCATTGCTTTTTTCAACTCGGCACCTCTTGCAATCTCTAGGGCACGTTTTAAACTCCTGCGAGCGATAGTTCTTGTTGAACTCTCACCCTGTTAAAGGAACATTTGAGGCTTCTAGAAATGAATATATAATCGTAACAGTACAGTAATAAGTTCTTCATTAATGTTAAATAGTACATTTTATGTAATTTACACTATTATTCTATCTACATTTTGTAATTTTCTATTCTCTGCTCCTATACTGTATACATAGGGCATATCAAGGGAAACAGAAACCTCAAGAACAAAATGGTCATGCCAGAAACACTCGAAATACACAAAAACATAACACACATAATGAAGCCATTTACAAATTTCAATGATTACTATCAGAAACTCACCTCCTTTTGGGTCAGGACTGATTGAAAGCTAACAACCATGAGATATAGCAATCATATATTATTTGTAATATCTAAAAGGGAAGAAAAAAGGTAAATTGGAAACTCTTGTAAATGGTTGGTTAGCCTTATATCTTTAGACTAAGTGACAGTCCCTGTGCATATCAGATTGCACCCAAGAAAAATACAAACTCACCCAGAATGGTACCTTAAACACTTGAACATAAAAATCATGGCAGCCCTATGAATTGTCATGGAAAAGACTCATATTAAGTATGCCAACAGTCAGAAATGGCAACTTAAGACAGCTTGCTGAAAGGCCTATTCACATGACCCTGTTGGTGGTGGCAATAAATATCTTTAAACATTAATGACTTCTGGCAAGAGACAACGTCCTGTTCACTAGCATAGTCAATGGCTTTTCTTTCAATTACTGTAGTGTAAGTCTAATTTGCATTAGTAACTTACTCCCTGTACAAATGCACCTCAACCTATTATATTCATGTCAGGTTTAGTAATAATTTCTCAAATACTGTACTATATTTTCTAAAAGTTTACATATAACCAAGAGGAGCTTCTCACCTTTGCATGTCTAACTCGTGCATGTCGTGTTACATGAGCTGGGGAGTGTGTTACCTGAAAGATAAAATAGCCATTATATAAACAGAAATGGATATTTGCTTTATGTGGCCATCACAAATACAGGAGTCATGGACAAGCAATAAAATTACTCACAACTCACTGACTTATACTGGGAGGATTAAAAATATATATACAGTATAGTCTCGGCTTACGCGTTTGGTCATTTACGCGGCACCTTGCCAGACTGGCAATTTTTATTTACACGGTTCATTCCATCATTTACGCGGAAAGCGGCGCGGGCAGGGTGCACACAAGGTCACCCAGTCAACAAAACATTACCGAGTTCTTCACCCGCCACCCACCACGGCCAGCCCAAGTCAGTGATAGTGAGGATATGGACTTTGAGGGGTTTGACAAAGAGGCCCTGCAAGCCTCTGTGGTGGATAGTGATACAATTGATACAAGTGATACAGGTGAGGGCCAATTAATCTGCCCTCTGCCTCAGAACCAACCCCCCATCCTCGTGTGCCCAGCCATCTTTTCTACTAATGTAAGTGTTAAAAAACCTAATATTATTGATATTTCTTTTAAATATTAATTGTGTGTGCATACCATCATAAAATTAAGATGTTATTTTTACTACAACGTACTATTGTGTCAGAAAAAGTGTAGTTTGGGGGTCGGCCCAGTCTCTATTTCAATTAATCCCATATGTTCTGTTATTTCGTTTACACGTTTTACGCGGACCTCCACGGGTTCAATTGACCGCGCAAATGAAGACTATACTGTATACATTTTTTTTTTACCAGAGTAACGAACTCAACCACTTATAAACACACCTCACACTCCTCAGAAGTTAGCTCTTCAACCTCATTAAGGGTTTCTCCAATGTGATTCTGATATGCAGTTGCCAATTCTCGTACAGTACAGCCTGTTTTTGAGCTGAAATATGATAAATTGATTAAATAAACTAAAAAAAAAATGCAAATGTAGAGATCAAAATGATACTGGCATGATGTCATCTCCACCCCCACCAGGAAAATAATAAAAGTATCCTAAAAACAAATGGCCCCACTTTACTGTAAACCTACTTTGTATAACAGGTTTTTTTAATTAAACAGAAACAGATTTGTTCACCACCACTGCAGAATTAGGCTATTTGTCCCTCCCTCCCTCCAGGACCATAACTTTAAAACTATGAAATATTGCATCTTAATGAAGCTTTACCACATTATGCATAAGTGGAATGAAATTTGTCAAATAATATTTTGTCCGTATCTTCAAGGATAAAATTAGGCATATTAATGAAGTGTTCATGTCCACCCTGAAACCTATGAACCAAAAAGGATATCAAGGTACATTAACACAATGTAGCAACTGCCAGGCAATACGTCATGGACCAAGTGGGGACTTAACCTTCAAGGTTACAGCAGTACCCTGGATACAGTACAGAAATCTGTCTGTATTCACTCCACAACTTCTTAACCAATGAAAATATCCCCATGACACACTGGTGCAACTTGCATCGCCAAAAGACAAAGTGTCATGCACAGTCCCGATTGAGGTCTAACTTATAAGGGAAAGTTCATCTTCAATATATAATAAACAACTTATATCCTTCTGTAACTCTTTAACTAATATGGAAATTATCTTGAAATATCAACACAATATACTCCACTACCAGACAATGTCAACTTTAAAGATCAACAATGTTTTTACAATTGTTGACTGATTACAACAAGATTATCAGAGAGAGATCACCTTTTCCCAATATCACTTTACTCCTGACTTCTTCACACCACTGACTGCTTAAGATCATGGGGAAACATGCTATACTGTCGAAAGTTTCAGAGCAATCACAAAGTTTGTTTATAAGTCTGATCTTCACCTTGATCTCTGGTTATGCCCCTGACTATAAAGGGAAGACTAAAAATTGGCATAAGGTATAAAAAATAAAGGCTTTGCTAATGCATACTTTGGTAAAGTTTCAAAATAAAATACAGTTGGTCCTCACATTAAGCGGTCCCGCATTCCGCGTTTCACCGTTAACGCGGTGCCTTGCCAGAACCTAACATTCTTACATTCCGCGGTCGTGAACCCCATTACGCGGAGAGCGGCTGGCAAGCCGCGCCATTTTTGGATCCAAACCTCCCGCCATCCGCCATGTTGTGTAAGAGGCGCGAAAATGGTGCGCACAAGGTCGCCCAGTCATCAAAACATTACCGAGTTCTTTACCCGCCACCCACCACAACCGGCCCAAGTCAGTGATAGTGATAATTATAGTGAGGATATGGACTTATATGGACTTTGAGGGGTTTAACAAAGAGGCCCTGCAAGCCTCTGTGGTGGATAGTGATACAATTGATACCAGTGATACAGGTGAGGGCCAATAATCTGCCCCCTCGGAACCAACCCCCATCCCCGTGTGCCCAGCCATCTTTTCTACTAATGTAAGTGTTAAAAAACCTAATATTATTTATATTTCTCTTAATTATTAATTGTGTGTGCATGCCATCATAAAGTTAAGATAATATTTTTACTACAACATAGTTGTGTGTCGTCAAAAAGTGGAGTTTGGGGATCGGCCTGGACTCCATTTCAATTAATCCCATATGTTATGTTGTTCACTTTACGCGTTCCTCACTTTCCGCGGGACCCTCCGGGTTACATTAACCGCGTAATGTGAGGACCAACTGTACTGTGCATACTTTAGAGTTCTTAAATTTTGATAACAGTTGGAGAGATGGATAACTAAAATCTAGTCCTCATATTTTGCAAAGCAGCAGGGGACAAAAGAGTACATTTCATGAACATAGTAACTTTGACCTTAGTGAACCACTCAATCCTCCTCCCTCACTTTAACTTGTATACTGTTCCTTTAATGAAATAATTTTATTGTCTGTGGCCATTATCTGCACATTTTACAATCATTATACTGTATATTACTATTCTCCACCTATTACACCTCGAGAGCATCACTCACGCCAGCAAATGTTCGTGGAGAATGTTTTACAGGGGTCATCGCGCGTGTCCCCTTCTGGCGTACAGTAGAAGACATTGGAGAGTCCTTGTCTGAATTTGGTGTACAGCAAGCACGCTTAAAACTAATGTGTACTGGACTACCTGGAGTAACAACTTGGACAGTTGACGACGATGGACAAGGGCTTAATAATAAAGCTGGCAACTGGCGCACCTTAGATCGATTATCCGGCGAACCGGCCCAATTTCTGTGTTCTGAGTAGATGAAGCAGCCATTACAGTATTCTCAGAGGTATAGGAGGTCGCTGATTGTGATGGCTTCATAGATGTTACTGATGGAACAGACCTAACAAGTGGTGATTTCTGTACAACCTGAGATGATTTGCCGTCTTTCTCATCTTCAGATTCAGTAAGAAATAAACATAGACCAAGTTTTTCTGAAGCCACAGATTCTTTTTCAGGTTGTTCTTCCATTTTCTTACACTTTGTCCTTG